TTCTTGTTTACGAATACATGGCAAACGGCCCCCTACGGAGCCATCTCTACGGGGCAGACCTTCCACCTCTGTCATGGAAGCAGCGCCTGGAGATATGCATTGGGGCAGCCCGCGGGCTTCATTACCTTCACACGGGCGCCGCTCAGAGTATCATCCATCGGGATGTGAAAACCACCAACATACTGTTGGATGACAACTTTGAAGCCAAAGTGGCCGACTTCGGTCTCTCGAAAACTGGGCCTGCCATCGACCAGACCCATGTGAGCACGGCTGTTAAGGGCAGTTTCGGATATCTCGACCCCGAATACTTCAGGAGGCAACAGCTCACGGAGAAGTCTGACGTGTATTCATTTGGGGTAGTCCTTATGGAAGTCCTGTGCACCAGGCCGGCTTTGAACCCGGTCCTTCCCCGCGATCAGGTCAACATAGCCGAGTGGGCCATGACGTGGCAAAAGAAGGGAACACTTTATCAGGTCATGGACCCGAATCTCAAGGGGAAGGTGAACCAAGCGTCCTTAAAGAAGTTTGGGGAGACAGCAGAGAAGTGTTTGGCTGAGCATGGGGTTGATAGACCTTCGATGGGGGACGTGTTGTGGAATTTAGAGTATGCCCTACAGCTTGAGGAGGCGGCCATATCAGCTCTTGAAGAGCCTCAGGATAACAGCACCAACCATATCCCCGGGATTCCACTGAGCCAGACGTCGGAGAACAGTTTAAGCTGCATTGACCGGATGAACTCGGCAACACATGATGATGTGGAGGAGGATGCTGCCACCAGTGCTGTATTCTCTCAGCTCGTGAATCCACGTGGAAGGTGACACTCACAAAATCACATGGCTAATTGTATGCAATCTTGACCATTCGGTGGCAGCAATTTTGATCTGAGAATAAGTATATGTGATTGTTTTATACCGGCCGGGAAATAACAATGTGAGTCAAAATAATGTATTGTCATTTGTAAATGCTTTCTGAGCCAAAGGCAACTCCCCATATTGAGCCATTATGTTTGCACCACACTTACTAATTACGATAGTATATGTTTTTCCCCAAATCAGTGCAGCTTGTAATTTCATAAGTTTTCGGTTAAACATGTCATCATATTATAAAGAATCTGCTCGTGTTCAAACTTCATCCATTCACTGGAATATTGTATACGTTACGGTTGGACTCGGGCCGGGTGGCCCGACCCGGAACCGGCCCAAACCGGCACTGTTCCGGCCCGGTGGCCCGGTCAGTGACCGGTTCGGGTAGGCCCGACCCGCTGGGGTTCCGGTCCGGGCTAGGGCCCCTCAAAACGTGAACCGGCCTGGCCGGCTCGGGCCCGGTCCGAGCCATTTTTTTTATTTTTTATTTTTTTTTGGAATTTTTTTTTAAGTTTTTGGGTTGGGCTGGGTATTTTGGGTCATTTGAGATGGTTTGGGGGGTGGTTAGGGGTTAATTAGTAAAAGGCAAAAAAAAAAAAAATTGAACCGAGGCCCGGCCCGGACCCGGGGGTTACCCGGGCCGGTTCGGGACTTCGGGGCCTCCCCTTTCCTGAACCGAAGCCCAGCCGGGCCCAGGCCCGAACCGGCCTGGGTCCATGCCTAGTTTACGTAGCAAATATTTTTTCTCCATGCTTTGTCTACTAAGTTAATGTAAATTACTAAGTTAATGTAAATGATTATTTTTCACCTAATTACGTAAAAAAGTAACTACAACCTTATTTATTTGGTTTATCGTACAATTCAGAGCGCCAAATGAAAAACTACATATTTAGGGAAAAAGTTGGTCGATAAGGTTACCAAACATGTTCGAGTTCGATATTCTATAGACATACTCACATACAGTCCATTCGAACAAATTTTAAACACGTTGGTAATCCTAATATAGTAATATTTGCAGCTAGTAAGAAAAATTATAGGATTTATAGCAGGAGACCAAGAAAATGCATGATGCTCATCTCAATGATTTTTTAACTTTAATTTGAATCAAATTACTACTACGTATTTAGGACTTCCATATATATAAAATACACAGACTAGATCAATTTAGACCAGACTAGACTTAAACATACAGGACCGGACCAACACATTCCAATCCAAGTAAAAACATCCTTACGCGTGATATCATTCAGATTTATGACCAATTCAATTTTATTTGGTAGCCGGGCTTTAGCATTTTTGGAGCCTGGAGCTCCAGGCATACACTTATTGAGGTATCATTTCAGCGTACTTTCATAGCAAAATAATATGAAAAATGTATTATGAAAAGTTGAAGTAAAATTGTATCTTATATTTTCACCCAAACATCCAAGGAATATCACCGAATGATCATTTATAACATGTATCCTTGTAGTAGATGAAACGAGGAGAACTACTCCTTAAGTGCACTTTCTTGCGAGGTATTTTAGATAATCAATCAGTGGTTGCCCCAAATCCTCATTTTCAATACCATAAACCAAGGTAGTTGACATTTCAATGATCTCTTCAACAACGTTGTCTTCTATCATAATAGGAGGAATTACCCATTTTTGACGTACTCGTGCTTCAATTTCTTTGTGGAGATGTCCCATGTTTTATGCTCACCCCGCCAATGCATCATCTTGCTTGGTTTGCTACACATGTTCTCAATAGTAACTTCACCTAGCCATCTTATAAACGTCCTTGCATATTTGTTGTAAGGATGTAATTCAGGCTTCTCTTCACTTCATAGATACCAAACACTTGATTGATGATTAGTTTTGAATCATGTAGACATTAACCCTTGCTTGTTTCATGTCTACAACTATTTCAATCCCGAGCATTAGTGCTTGATGTTCGAAGGCATTATTCGAGCATTGATCTATAAGCATGAAAGCTAGGACAAAACTTATCCTTCTAGTGTGGCAAAGACAACCCTAGATCTTGCGCCTTCTCTATGTGTGGCCCTATATTAAAGAGCATTTTTCATTGAGGCAAAACTTCAATTATAAGCACATCTTCATTAAGTAAATCATCGAAGAGTTCCTACTTAGCAATAATATGATGGTACACTAACAAATCTGTCAAGGCTCACCCTTTGATAGACTTTGTGAGACATGGATGATTTCGAATTGTTGAAATATCAAGTGCCATCTTGTAAGACGATCAACCATAACCACTTTGTACATCATATACTTTAGTGGATTTTCCCAAGATATAAGATAAATAGTGTAAACTTCAAAGTAGTATTTAAGCTTCTTGATTGCAAATATTAGGACCTAACATAACTTCTCAATGGGCAAGCAATTCAACTCGTGTGGAGTCAACATTCTCCTTCCCTGTATAATTTTCTTGAACTAATAGAGCTTCTACAGACCTTTCTGGAGTAATGGTGTAAAGTATTACAGGACGACGAGAGATGGGATCACTTAAGACTAGTGATTTCATTATACAAGTCTTGATGTTATCGAATGCTGTTTGGCTTACTTGGTCCCATATGATTGGCACACCCCTCTTCATAAGCTGACTAAAGAATTGACATATCCCCCATAAGTTTGAGATAAATCTCTGTATATAGGCCACCTTCCCTTGCAAACTCTTTAACTCACGAAGGTTTGGGTATGTTTATAATAGTGTCAATCTTGACTTGTTATATCTCAATGCCTTTTTGATGAACAATGAACCCCAAGAGTTTTCTGGCAGTACTCCAAAAACACACTTTGGATGATTCATTTTGAGATCAAGCTTCTTTAGACGATCACATACTCTTTTCAAGGGCGACAAATATTCATTGTGCGGGCTTTTGACTTCAAAATGAGGTCATCAAGACATCAACATATAATTCCATGATTTGTGGAGAATATCATCAAACATGGTGTGCATAGCTCGTCCATAAGTCACTCCAGCCAACGGAAAATTCAGGAATTATCGTGACAGGGTGAAATTATCTCATACATTAAGAATAAATACTGTAAAATTAGCTATAAATAACAAAATTTTCGTTCGACAAAAATTGTATTTAACAAATTTCAGTTTGTTAGCAATGAATCAGTCAATCAGTCATATAGTTTTATTTTTATGAAATTAGGTTAATAAATAAATGAATTTGAATAAAGGAAGAATAGTGTATGTATTTATAATAATGTATCTCATCTAAGTTGAACATCTCAGACGCAAAGCACTAACCCAAAACTTGGAGCGATCGGGAAGCAATTCTAAATAGATCAGATCCAAAAATGCCACTCTCAAGTATCTTCTCATGCAGTTCGACCATCTAAGCATGTAACTCTCCAATATAGAATGAGAAATATATTCATAAACACATACATATACATAGAACTATATAAACTCTTGACCGGAATCGCTGTGCGGATGCCTCCACTCGAGGTCCTTCTGGTAGAATTATTTGATGAAATTTTGTGAACATTATCTCCATGAAGTATAGTTTATGTCCACTAAATTTCAGCTTAAAATTCAATCAGAAAGTCAGATAAAAACAATTTAAGCTGACTTCCCAATATGAAGTTTAAGTTGAAATTTGATGGACATAATGTCATAATCTACACTTAATAGTTAACATTTCATGCTCACAAAATTTCATCAAAAAATTCACCCGCATGCATTCATAGAGCGGTTTTGGTCAGGAGCTTCTAACATAAACAAGACTATACATATATGCGTTCCACGAAATGAGAAAATTAAAAGATTCATATTTAATACATTACATACATTATCTTATATAACTAAATTATATCTTTGAGACAGAGAATCGAGAGTATAAAGGCAAATTTTGAAAGAACAAATCGCAACAAAAGTTGTCCATGAAATGTAAAAAAAACGGATAACGACATATGTGAAAATAACGTTTGATAATTGTCCAGAAAGCTTCTCAAAAATACCAGAACTGAAAAATATGAGGTGGTATAATCTGAGGAATTTTTTTAGATTCCTATACAACTCCATAAACTCTTCCTTGAAATTCTCTAATCTCTCTACCATTACTATTTTCCCGAAAAAGACATGAAAAACAAGTGCAAAAGAGATAGAATCTACTTTAATTTGGAAGATTGTGACTTGCTCGTACTAGGTTCAAAACAGAGAAAGTTGTAATGGTAGAAAATAGTGCATAGAAAATAGTAGTATTATAGTGACCAGCAAAATATTCAACAGGGTGGTGATACACAGGTTTAGTGGTTACGGGTAACAATGGTAACAAGGAAAAACAACTGATATAGGCCCCTCAGGAATCACACAGACAAACCATTCTCAGCGACCACCATATCAACACATATGTATTGCATAGGAGGACAGTGGAAGTACTGTTTCCACTCAGCAAAGCAAGGACACACATCTTTGAGTCATTTACGGTACAGAATGTCATAGTGACCTGGCCGGTATAGCAAGGTAAGAAGAACTGAATGAGCCTCTGGGGCGACGGCCTTCTTGGTGGACTCATCAATGTTGCTGCTGTTTTCACCACCTGACAAAGATGAGCTGCTGCGATCAAGATGGACGACACGGATAGGAACACCCAAGGCATCTGATAAAGCTATAATGTGCACATGGTCACTCTCTTCTCCCATTGGTTCCACCGATGACTTGCAGAACTACACCCACCCACCAACACATTCATCATCAGTAAAGCAGCCACAACACCCACAAGCAAAGATGTTACTACTAAAAAAAGATACAAGTCATAGTAAAACTTAACCTGTTCCACTGAAGTATTTGATAACCCTAGTATGAATGGCTCAAAAAACTCTGACCGTTTCTTTATTTCACCAGATGTCACAAACCTGAAGAACATCACAACTAACAACACGAAGTGAACTTTAATTTTATAAAGGGGAAAAATTACATGGAGCAGCATATTGTAATAAAAGCAAACTTATTTCATGTTTTCAGCCCCCAGTAGTACATCTTCAATGCATGGAAACTTACTATAGTCAGAAACTGACGGGTCACGAGTTCTCTCTAGGAGTTCATCATGACTGCAGTAAGCACAGATCAATAAATAAATAAATAGCTAAATTAATTGTTTTAATGAAAAAAATAACAGATTATTAGATACTTGTCAATCCAAATGAAGCAAATTCTTTATGAGTCAAAGAATGCACAGTTACAAAAAGACTACATCCAAACCTTATAGAAGCTTCACTCCTTTGAAGAACATTATCAAGTTGCTCGAGGAATAACTATATAGTTATGCACACAAAAATGAGAAATAGCAAAATTACATAAAGCTTCAGCAGTAATAAAAAGATATTCAACACTAAAGCGGCATAGCGACATACGAAACACGATCGGATGACTTTCTACCTTCTTCACAGAAGCCGAGATCTTAAAATTGATAGCGTTGAGGTTTATTCCTCCCGGTCCAAAGGCCCAACACGTTCCTTTGGAGGTCGTTGGAATTCAGTGGTGAATATGCTGATTACACAATTATGCCGGAACAGGAATTCCGGTCTTAGGCAGAATTAAAGCAAATATAAGAGTGAGAGAGTAATGAAATGATGTGAGTACAAAATTGCTAACCCCTTACATTGAAATAAATGTTGGTATTTATACTATGAATGGGTAGTTGAAGAGGGTGACGTGGCCAACTCTAAGTGGATATTTCTTCAACCATAAAATCCTTCATATCTCTTGTATTAAACGCGCGTTTCCCGCCAAACATGTGATTTCCCGGCAACTCCCTTAAGGCATTCTGCCACAGCCAGCCCTTCATGGTGGAGAAATGGCCCAAGTATGTCAACCATACCGTTCGGCAAGTTCTATGCGCATAGCCATTGCGGTCCTTCCCGTACCTGGTTTTGCTTGATAGGCTCCGTGGACATTGAGCTTTTATGGATATTTGGGCCCGTACTTGATCCATGACCCAATTTCTCAACAGACAGGATTGTGACAGTTTTGCTTCAAAAAATGCTCAAAAATTGTATTGTATGGCATATGATATCAAGTAGTTCTATGGATAAAAAAATACTTGTGTAATGAATTTTATTTTTGACAATGAAACTTTTGTAATATATTCTTACAACACATATAATTAGGGGCCTATTTTTTTCTTCTGTCTCGGGCCTATAAATTGTCAGGACCGGCCCCGTGGTGACTGTGGTCTTGGTAATTTTTTACTATTTTTTATAAGTTATAATTTATTGCTTTAAAGTTATGCTCATGCTTCTATTGGTACTTGGTCATGTGTTTTGAAACTTCTAAATTAACAAAATTATTAATTCTTGCTAATCTTCTTTAGTTTACAGTTCCTTTTTATTTTGCCTTAGAACTTATGAACTAAATGTATTGTTGTTGGGTACTAACTTTTGTCTTGGTAATCTCATAAATAATTTCATTTCATCGCTAAGAAGCTATGCTTTTGATATAAAGTGATTAAACTATAAGTTGTGATTTATTTTTTAGAAGTTGTTTTACTGTTTCTATTGGTATACGCGTGCCTAATGTTTTTTGAAACATTCAAATTGACAAAAGTCATTTCTCTCATTCATAATATATATCTTTAGCTTCTGAGATTTCTCACTCTTTAAGTTTTCCTCTTCAATTAAATACTCAATAGCAAAACTATGTGGACATTCTCTTTATAATTGTATCAAGAAAAAGAATACTCATATTATATCTATGTTGACTTACAAACTTTTTTTGTGGTTGTGATACTTAGACATGTCATTTTTTCTCTTGTCTTAGGGTGATAAATACTTATTTTAGAGGAATCTGAATGAAGCCTAAGAAGTAAAAGCAATTTTGGGAAAAGATGCCTACTACTCACTACTAGAAAATCAGCCTATAGTGACTTTAAATAAGTGTCACTGAAAGTTTCCGTGACACTTGACATAAGTCAAAGTAGGTCGGAAATTGTGACACTTGATAAGAGTCACTAAAATGTGTCAATAAAATTATGACATTACAATGTTGTAAAATATTATGATACATTTGTAACAATAAATTTTGAAACACAAATATGTCATACAAATTAATGATACACCAGCGTCACAAAACTTGGATATAGTATAAGTTATGAAACACCCAAATTTACTAATATTCATATTCATATTTAAATGAATTACGGATCAACAAGTAATCAATACCAACATTTTTATTTATTACTCAAATTTTTATACAATATATTTAAAGAGTTAATGTCAATAATATAATGTATACTTCTACATGATACAAAACTACATATGATTCATTTACAATCCAAATATCCATAGAAATATTCTAGGACTTAGTAAGCTCCATATGATATTAATTGACAAATTGGCATGCATCGATAGGGCATCATCTTGCTTCTATATATTTCGTTGCCAGCTTTTATCTGAAAAGAAAAGGAAGAAGAAAACAAAACAGAAAATAAATTAGAATGACTTCAATATTTCCATAATTTTTAAAATATGTGATCTATGATTATTTGATTCAAACTAAACACCATGAGTTTAGATCACAGGCCCCGCCCTTTCACATATTTTACCTCACAATTGGCAACCAAGAGAAATTCTTTTTTTTTTTTTAGAATTTTCTGAAACAAGAACATTAATAGGCATGACCTGCAATGAGGCAAAGGAAAAAAAAGACAAATCTCGATATAAATACTCATGAAAGGAGCAAATTTTGAACTTAAATCACTGGAATAAGAAAGCAAAATCAGAGCCTCTTTTGAATTGTAGATAAAAGAAGTCTCCCACACATTCTAAGCAGAGTAATTCAGTAAGAGCAAAGAGAAAAATTTACCGCACGAACAGGAGACCAAATTAAAACAACACTCTCATGAGCTTTCATCTACTTCAGCGTCATAAAAATCAAAATTAAATGAAACTTAAGCAATGAGATCGTTTCTTATCAGTATGAATGAGAAAATAGTTAGTGCAAACATGAATAGAAGCAAACTAGATGACGGATTATCTCTAAAATAAATAAATTCAAAGAAAAAATGGGATAGGCATTTTGGAGAAAAGTTTGGGCGTAAAAAGCTAGATATAAAACACAAAGACGATTTCTAACCTCGAGATAATGATCCTAGCGCCACAGAAGCACTACAAAGCAAAATAAGGAGGCTTGGATTTCTTGAATGGGCATGCACCTCAACCTGGAAAAGTATTTATATTTCTTCATTTCTTACCTTCAGTATATTATTGTTCACTTATACTCACCATATTTAAGATAGAGAATTAAGTATATATTCTCCATTTCTACTCTGGAGTATGTGTAGTCTCTAAGTGATGAACAATATTATCGACTTGATCTCAGTAGATTTTCAGTTTGGCTGAAGTATGTTCTAGGGATAAGTTTTAGAACTTAGAATGAACCTTTCAACTATTATATATAGCAGACCAGGAAAAAATTGACATAACAAAACCTTAATCCTTGTTGGGTTTATGCCTGATTGAACAAAACCTCAAGCACCTGATAAGTCCATTTTAGTTTATTGACAAGCATGAAGTCCCCATATAATTTCAAAATTCAAGGCAATGAGGTTACCATTAATTAACAGTATACTTACAAAACATATACTACATACAAGTGAAAAGAATGAACAAAGTGAACACAAGTGAAAAGAATGAACTCTTTAAATCAAAACATCAAATTAAACGGCAAATGACTAGATGAAACTGGTAAATACTTACAAGATGCCATTGTTATCGCGTCTTCCAGGCAGCTGAAAACCCATCTAGTTCTACCATTGCTGCCTCACGACACTTTTAAACGTTTGTGATAGTATTTATGCATACAGATGCATAACCAAGCATATGATTAATTTTAGGTTGAATATTAAGAATTGATTATTAAAGGAAGTATTGAGATGTAAATAGAGGTGTCGGGACAGAGAGCGAGAAAGTACCCGCTATCCTCTTCGTTTTTCGGTTGGGAATCTGAAGGAGAAGACGATGTGTTGCTTACTCAGTTCGTCAATCGGCTAGGACTGGAGCAGAATCGAGAGGAACCAAGATGAAACCCTATTTCACTACGAGATTTGATGTCACAGAAGCAGCTTCACACTTTCATCTCCATATACCTTCTCCATATCTCGCTGCACTAGAAGGTTGCAGTGGAGAAGACGAGGAAGAAGTTCCACATAGCAAAAAGATACAAGACTGACAAAGGATGGGAGGATCTCGTTGAAATCGCCTCATCGGAGTTTCTTATTCTCATTCCTCCGCTTCACCGGTAGCTTGGGCGTTCAAGATGACAGTCAATTGATTGATGAGAATAAGGATTATATGAGAACGAGAATCATTCGATTCAATGGGAAGAAGATCACTTGTGGATTCGATATTGGAAGAAGGCGCTAGGGTTCTATGTGAACGAGAAGGCGCTAGGGTTCTATGTGAACGAGAAGGCGCTACGGTTGGAAGAAAGGGAAGGCGCGTAATAAAAGATGAAAGATTAATAGGAGCAATAAATACTCCGTATATGTGTGTGTGTGTCAGTATTCTATAATAATAATAGTATACCAAAAACAATGACACATATATGTCATAAATCCTTTACTGATGTTATAGTGTCACTAAACAAGTGTCACTATAAGCCTGTTTTTTAGTAGTGACTTTTGAGGGAATCACTAGTGAGCATAAACACTATCAATAAGTGATCTCCACAGAATAGGGATGAAATGTATTTTCACTGCGAAGTTTTTTTTATTTATAGGAGATCCATGTAGAAGATGAAAGATATTAATTCATCATTAAAGAGAGATAAAGAATGAAAGATGAATGTACTGGGGAATTTGGGAAAAGATCAAGGGGTTTTTACTTCAATATTACTAATTTTGAACCAATTATCCAAAAAGTGATCACTTTTAAAAAGGGGCAAAAAAGTGATCAAGAAAGTCATTTATGTGGAATTAGAAAACATGATGTCACCGTGTTCGTTTTTTTTGTAACTACAGCCACCACCCATGTCACTACAACCACCGTCCGTGTCACTGTAGCCACCGCCCGTGTCACTGTAGCTACCGCCCGTGTCACTGTAGCCACCGCTCGTGTCACTGTAGCCACCGCCCGTGTCACTATAGCCACCGTCAGTGTCACTATAGCCACCGTCAGTGTCACTATAGCCACCGCCCGTGTCACCGTGATCGTTTTCGTTTAGTGACACAGTCAGCCTTAGCCACTGTGGCCACAGCTGGCCTCCACAATGGCGGCTGTCCCCGCAACACCCCTGCCCTGCCCCACCACCATCACCACAGCCCTGCATTACCCCCATCACTCCAGCGTCGCCCTGCCCATATCACCCCAAACCTGCCTCATCATTTCATCCCTGCCCCACCCCATCATCCTAGCCACGCCCACAAGCCCTGCACCAAACCACCATCCACTAGAGCTGGCCCAAACCACCAGACCTGCCCCAGGCCCTCAGCCCCAACCTCTGCAATCACCACGCCACCTCAATTTGCAGCCACCACCACCATCACCATCTGCCAGCACCACACCAGATCTGAAATTCTAACCAACTAAATCTCCACCGCAATCGAAGCAATCAGTCAACAGGGGATGTCGCCTCCAATGTTTGAGACGCCATCGCCGAACAGAACGGAGGACCGATGGCTTCGAGCGAGCGGAGAGGATTGCGCCACCGTGCGAAGAGAAGAGGCACCTCCGACTCTGTGCAGTGAGGAATGGAAATCGATGATACGCCACGGCCGGTGGCTTATGCACGCGGAGAGGAAGATGCCATGGTCGTGTGACGGTGCGAGGAGAGAAGATGCCTCCTGTACGAAGAGGGAGATGTCAGGTCCTGCGCGAAAGAGAGGTGTCCGAACTCCAAAGAAAGTTTGACGAGATTAATGGGTTGGGGGATATTTTAAAAGCTCACATATTTGTCTAATCTTAAAATTGTCATATTTTTGCCTACCTAAACTCCACACGTAATATTGGTGCCATTCTTTCAAAGATCAAACTGATATGTCAAATTACTATACGGATGGATGATTTTGCTTGTATGATAATACAAAGTACTAGTACTACATTGTTGGAAATATGCCCTAGGACAATCATAGTTTATGATTTATCAATAAATATTTAATGCTCATTAATTAATAAAGTTGCAAACTCATTTTATGTTAATTATTATTGTGAGTTTTCTTTATTAATATTTAGTCCCTGAATATTCTGTTTAGTAGCTAATTAAGTATGTGACTTAATTGTGGAATGCTACACTTTAAAATAAACATAATATTCTAATTGTCCCTGGTCTAATATTATTAATTTGGGACATTAATAATTAATAGACCAGTATGTGGATTAACTGATGGCTATATTCCACTAGTCATGGGTATAGAGATATCAAGTTAATAACATAGATGCTTGTTAGGGAACAAGTTCATTGGACAGACCCAACTTGAGGACACTGCTAGGTTATATGTCATCAGTGTTGTCCTCAATAATGATGAGGTGCTATATTCTTATACTTGAGATAATCATGGTTACTAGCATGAGAATTAATATGTATTAACACCATTAAATGTTATCTTTAACTGGGTAATTATAAAGGTGGTGATTGTACATATTATGAACCATGTAGTAGTATGTGAATTATCAAGATAGTTTTTGTCACTCTTGTACATCGAGAGAAAGATATCTATTGGGCCCCTTGACAAGTAAGATTAATTAGCATGGCCATGCTCAAATGAGGTGTCATTTGATCAAGATTAATCTTACTTGGTAATCAAGAAATATTAATTGAGAATAACAAGGATGACACGACCTAACCTTGTCTCAATTAAGATATCGTTTGACAAAAGAGAATTGTTAGCACAAATTAATCATTAAAAGGTTATGTCAGATTTAATTGACATTTATATATTTTGGATAGTCATAATGTCTTGCTAGAGACCGCTTATGATTTGTGAGGCTTGAATTAATTTCTAGCCCACTGCCAATAATATATAAACCTACAGGGTCACACACCTAAGTGATTTGGATCATTAATGTTTGTTAATAACATTAAAATAGCTTGATTAGCCCAATTCGAAAGAGGTTTTCGAATGGTATTGGGCTAGGGCCTCTTTAAGGGTTTTATTAGCCATAAAACCCCTTCTTTCCACCTCTTATAAATAGGGCTAAGGAGACCCACGAATTTTAAGAGTTAAAATTCACTTCTCAAACAGGAAGAAAGAAGAGAACGCTAGCACGTTCTCTGCGGCCGATCCAGTCACGTGCGTGTGGATACCGGTAGAGCTCGGGATCGTTTTCTCGGACTGTCTGACATCCTTGATTAAGATTGTTATGTAAGTCCCTCTTAAATTCTTGTAATTTCGTTTATAATAAGAACCTCAGATCCGTTCGTTTACTTTTGGGTAGTAAAATTTTTGTTTATTCCGCTGCGTTTTTCTGCCCGAAACCCAACATACATATATTCATATATAATAAAACGGTATAAATTTTGTCTAATTTACGGAATTTTCGAAGTTTGACATGTATGTATGTATGTTGTATGTATGTATGTATGTATGTATGTATCTATGGATGCTTGGATGCATGGATGCATGCATGCATGTATGTATGTGATGTAATGGATAGAATAATCATATCTAACGTAAGAGAGCTAGAATTTGGAAAGAACAACATAATATGGCATGAAAGACATGTGTGCACACATACAGTTTTCAATTTATGATTGAAATTAGGAGAAGGCTCGTTTTGCCGGCCTCTCTTAATCAAAAAACAATGAAATAAGGTCATAAAAAAGGAGTTGGAGAGAATTTGAGGACATATGTAGTATAATACTCTTTATAAATAGTTCAAAAGAATGAATGTGACATTAATTATATTCTAGTGCAACCAAATGGTAGAAAGAGCCACGACGAGGGTGAGATATGACCAGGGTGCAGTCTCGTCCACTCCCCCACATCCCGATTGATGCATGAGATATGACCGGAACCAATATATTGGTTCCGGTCTCAGCTTCTCATAATTTTGTGCCGTGAAAAGTTCACTATTCTTCCATTTGTGGCTGTAATGCAAAATCTTCTCTGACAGCTCCAAGAAATGAAGCAAACAGGCCTGAAGTGTTGCGACAACCATGCTGATAAAGAAGAAAAAGCTGCTCGCCATTGCCAGCTTCTTCCTTGACACAAAGTCGGCACCAGCTTCAAATTTGTCACCCGCTATTGCTGGAAAGGGGGCCAAGTTCCGGTAGATTCGAACCGTGGTAGAGGGAACAACTTGGTGATACAATGTTGTGGCTGCTTGTCTTGTCGCCACAAACATCCCATGCTTCACCTCTACTTTCTCGAAAACCTCTAATGTGGGAGAATCACAAAACCCACCCCCGGGATTACCATCTTCCAAGAAATGGTTTGCCATACTATGGTGGCTGCTATTGTCCAATCCCACCGCCACCGACGACAAGTCATTCATTTCAGCTCTATAGTATCCCTTGCTACTCCTTCCTGCAACATAATACAGTCAAAGTTGTGCGTTGAGCAATGTGAAAGTCCAATTGTTGCAATTACAAAAGAACCGGGTAGTATATAACATGACACCAACATACGTAACTTTAGGGCGTAATAACATTTTAGAATTTCTTAGGTTATAATGTGTGTGTATAATATATACCATGCACTTCATGTCCCGATCTATTAAAGCTTGAGACATTTTCTATTGGAACTTCCCTGTACTCCTCCATATGTGTCTGTTGAAGCACATAAAGGAAACCTACGTCAGATATCCCATTATTTATTGTACATTTTATTTTATATACTACAAAATATCACGTTTGTGTGTACTCCCTCCCGCCTTTTTAGTTAGCCAAACTTAACTTTTCAAGTCAGTGGTGTCTAACTTTGACCAATTATATATTTATATACAAAAGTATTGATAATATGAATTTTTTTTTCAAAAATACTATCATAAAAGTATAAAACTATTAAATTTTGCATAAATGTATTAGTTACCACGTATAAATTATGTACCTTCTCAAGGTCTTTGTCGGACATTCCAACCCATCTTAAGTTCTCCATCACCATTGTGTCTGGTTTCAAACCCTCATCATCAGCATAGATGTCCCCAAGCTGATGATGAACATTCATACAATTTTGGTGCTTATCTTCGCCTTCTCTTCTAGGTTGTTGGTCCAAGAACCGGAAGCTACCCAAATCTTGGATCTGGCTAGAGCTGTGAGGGAGGAAAGAAAATGCATCTTTAGCCCCGATGGGGGGCTCATGATCATGATATGGTCCACTCCAAGGGTTGTCCTCTAGTTCATTCATCAGATTTTGGGACACTTGAGCGACAGAGAGGATTTCGTGAACAATGTCAGTTGGTTGGTGTAATTGGTTGGTGATGAAGGTGGATTGGGGCAAATCCTGAACCTCCAGCTGCGGTAACGTGAACCGGTGCTGCAACCTAGCACACTCCAATGCTATGTCAACCTGCATTCGATCATATGTGCACAATCAATCTAATCTCATTTACAAAATACTCAAGCATTCACCATCCAGTTACTACCATGAAATAGGGTTTTCACGTTCGTTATTTATAATCTTTAACGTTTGTTTATAAGTGATATGGAATGTAGAGACGTAATAAGTAATGACATATTACATTGGTTTTCAATCAAAAGTAAATAAGTTTCTTTTAAATAAAATAAAGTTAAATTTATAAAGCTATACTATACTCCCTCCGTTCTTTTTTAATAGTCCCGCTAGCCTTGGGCACGAGTTTTAATAATAAAGTAGTAGGGTAAGTATAGAATGTGTAGGGTAAATGATAAAATAGGAAGATGTATATTAAAATGAGTAAAATGATGATAAAGTAGGAAAGAGGGTGTATTAAGAATAGTAAAGTGATGATAAAGTAGAAAAGAGAAAGTAGTTTGTAAAAAGTAAGTGGGGTATTTTATCAAAAACTTTCATTAAATGGAAAGGATGACAAATAAAAAAAATAGACCAAAATGGAATAAGAGACTTATTAAAGAACGGAGGGAGTACATAGACTGGACAAATAAAAACTTAAACACTCTTCTTAGTCCAAAGTAAACGTATCATTTACTTTTGGCGTGTACTTTTGACCGTTATTCAAACGAAAAAAGACAATATATATAGCCTTAATAAGTCTAGTATATTACATTATGTTGTCAATCAAAAATTAATACGTAGTGCATGTATTGCGGGCGTTACATAAATTTTATTAGTGTATAAAGCTAGAGTTCTCTACTAGTAAAGTTCGGCTCAAGTATATGAAGTTAATAAGTGACTATATACAGATTTATGTGGTCTAAATATTCCAGGAACAAATTTCTTAGAACATAACCACATTATTTTTTAGGGTTCTCTGCCACTTATTATTTAATTGGTCCAAGTCGTTTTTCATCTTTAATTTATATTTATATAAATCGATTGCAATATTCTAATTGGTCTGCTTAAAAAATATATGGTTCTTTGAGGTACAATACAATTTACCATGTATATTTACCTTAGAAGGAGGATAAGGTATAGGTGCATAATTTGAAAGCGATGATGATGGGGGGTTAGAGTTGAAAGTAAATGCTTCATCCGATAGGTACTGCATCCATTTATCATCACTATTATTATTGTTGTTATTGTTGCTTGAGCCTGCAGCAACTTGAAATGAATACCCATGGACTGTTGCCGCCATGGATGAGCCAGAAACTGTGGCTGAAGGCTGCGCCCCCACCATTGCATAGTTACAACTCTCCATCTCCTCGCTCTTTCCCTCCGAGTATATATCTATGCTAGAGGACCCATCTCTCGCCGGCGTCGCCGCACTGACGTAGTGTTCCGCCACTTTCGGGGCCGTGATGATCATACTCTTCTTGAATACCCGACAAAGTGCATATGCATCCTATACAACATATACCAAAAGTTATAAGAATAAACTCCTTAAATAGGATTAAAACATTGACAAAGTGCACAATTAGGCAAATAGGATCATCATCATTGTTCCCTTTCTAAAATAAGACTCATATGGACTCCGAATAGATGCAATTTTATTCTTTTAATAGGATCAAATAGTTTCCGTTTAGGGAATTATTGACATATAATCTTATCTATGCACTTTGATTAACTTTTAGTCCTATTTAGAGGAACTAATAAAGTTATAATTATTTAGGTCAGCTTGACATATATCTAATACAATACCTTAATTAGATTTTAGTTCAAATGGAAGTATTTAAAAATTAATAATAAAAATAATATGGATGTAAGAAGATACCTAAAATGGGAACCATATATGAAACATGATGTGAATGTATCAAGCTAAGTATCAAATGACGAGTTTGTAGTAAATACTTCGTAGATCGTAATGCACTCTAGCAACATCCAATATAATTAGCAATGTTCTACATCTATATATTTAAAAATGTTCACATTACACATTCTATTTTGACTATATCTATTTTATTAGTGTATTAGTAAATTAAAGCATGCATGAGATTTTTTCTAAAGTATTACTAAGAGAAAATTTATGCCAAAAATGTAATCAAAGTGACCAAAAATTATTAAATCACTATTTTATCTACTATTCTTATTTTGATCATATATTAAGAATTATTTCAAAAAATATACAGAGTCTTATGAAAAATACTACGGAGTATGAAACTCGTCTTATTTTGGTCAAACTACTCTGTACCTGCAAACCAGTTGGAATTTCACATTCTCTTTCATCAAGGCGATACTCATGCATGACCCAATCAGTGCGAGCTCCATGAGGGGCTCTCCCTCGGTAATAGACTAGGGTTTTCTTCATCCCTACTGACCTCCTCTGTGAACTTACTTTCCTATCCTTTCCCGTCGCCTTCCAGTATCCTGCTTTGGTCGCCCGGTTAGTCCTGGATCCATTGGGGTACTTCCGGTCTCGTGGGCTAAAGAAATACCATTCCATATCTTTGCTGGGCAACAAAGACTTTCCTGCAAATTAAAGGAAAAACATTGTAGTCTATGTAATTTATTCATATGGATCAGATCAATAAGAATATTACAATTAAATAATTGAAATATTAGCAAATGATAAGATAATGATTTGAATCAATCAAATGAATGAATCTATGTATATATAAATGGCACAATACCTTGTTTCTTTAAGAGTATAGTAGCATTCACCGTATTTAAATTCTAAATCAAAGTTAAAGTGTAACTCGCTTGTTTTTTTTTAGGATTGAATCATAAAACTTGGTAGCCATCTACAAATTGGTCTTTGAAAATTGATGGAGCTAGGCATTAAATGATTTAAAATTTCACTTGGAGTATAAAGCGAAAATATAGCAGTTATTATCTAGGCCATGGTAGTACAAAAGAACATAGTATCCCCCTACTTAAAGGTTATTTTTGTCATTTTATTAGGTATTATTCCTCCACCTTTAACTCTTCTAAACATCCTAACTGAATTTCATTCTTAAATATGAAAAAGCCTTAAAGCCCGTTTGGTAGCACGAAAATCGACTGTTTTGGCTGATTCTGCTGAAATTAATGAAGTTCTGGCTGAAGTGCTGCATTGGCTGATTCTGTTGATTTAAGAAAAAATATTTTTACAATATGTTTTATTGATAAAATAAAGAAAAAATAATATGTAAAAATAGCTAAAATGGTCATCTACAGTAACTGCAACCAATACAGCCAGAAAAGTAACTCCAACATTACTTTTTCTGCTTATCCAACAAAAGTTACGTGTTTAGTGAAAAGTTGGCTAATAAGCATAAGTCGAAAAACAATGTTGTCAAACGGCCTCTTAGTTTACGCGAAAGTATATGGTCGTCTCGAAGCTGAGTCGACAATACAATTATGTCTTTCTTATTACTTTTTGACTTGGAGTATCTTTTTTTTAGGCTTCAAATAGGAGATTAAAAGATTGTAGGGACCATCCTGCAAACTTTATTTTTAGAGACATAAAGACCATGTTCGACTCTTTAGCTTCCTTTTCTTTTTCCTTATCTTTTTTTTTATAATTTTTTTTTTGCGGGCGACTAGATCACGGCATATGATTTTTGACTGGTTAAAGCGCATTCAAAGATTATGATTTCCGTACTCATCAGAATACCACACGTTAACCACGCGTTGCTAATTTATTGAAAAATTAAACAAAATTGACCAAATTGATCCCAAATACCTACTCTAAATTATACTCCTTCCGTCCCTCTAACTTTATCTCGTTTTACCTTTTTCGTTCGTCCCATACCATTAAGTTTGTCTCATACCATATTTGGTAATATTTGGATGGTTACAATTCATTCTTACTTTATTCACACTTTGTCAATTCGATAACAACCACACAATTCTACTTTTTATTAAAAGTTGTGTCACACCACTTTGTCCCAAACATAGTGGGAAAGAGGTAGTACATATTGTGTGGGCCAAACAATGAGAAAAAGCTCGATGTCTAGCTAATAATCCAATATTAATAAATTGAGTCAACATCTTAACAAATCATAGCTCTTAATCTTATAGGTCGATTATAGCTTTATATTTATCTTATCTCCGAGAAACACTTTAATTGTATATTATTGAATTTTACACTGAAGGCACCTTTGAAAAATCCATCTAAATTAAACGAAATTGTCTTCAATAATTAAATACTTCGTGAGTTCGTGACAACTTTTAATGGGAAAATGTATAAACCTGCCCTAACATTTGCATTAAGATGACACATCCTTCTAAAGCATTTTTAATGCAAATAAATATGCCCTTTTTTCTGTAAATATATTGAAGAAAATTGTTTGCCCGAGTCAATTTTACATATACTACGTATATACATGCTCACTTCGTACGTTCACTAAACCTTGGCAAGCTAAACTTCCTATATGTATATATAGGTATACTAAGAAAGTGGTGGTTTGCCGGGTTAAAAAAAAGGTGTAATAAGAAAGTTAAAATTATGTGATTTAGTTTTTTAATTAACGGAGAGAAATAATATATAAAAAATCACAAATTACATATTTTGAGAGATTAATATAGTTCTTGAGAAACAAAACTTGGAAATTTAGATAAAATTCAGTGAGGAAAAAGCTAGTTACGTACAACGTACGTATATAATTATATTTGCACACATACGTATACACACACATAATGACATACTTACTTACATAAGAGATGCATTTAACACAAGCATTATTGTACATACAAGAAAGTTTCCCATAAAAATCATCATATTTAGCAAGCTAAAAGTCTGCGTTTTTGACAAATTGCGTGACAAAGTGATTGTTTTAGTGAATTAGTGAGATATGTCTCTGATCTTTTTGAGACATTATTTAAATAAAAACTAATTTGGTTGATTTGGTTCGAAGATAGTTTTTCTATACAAAGAATTTGATAAGACGAACATTTTTTAAAAGTGTTCCTAAATAGAATTCAAACAAAAATAAAATTTATAAATAGAATTATCATTATTTTATTCAAACATCTTTTGTGATTCACTGTTTTGAAAGTGGTATTTATGTTAGTTGAACAAAAATGTTCTTCAGTTAAGATGTTTTTTACGTAGCCACCAATCTCATCCGACTCATATACTTCGTACTTCGTATGTATGCATGATAATTAGAAAAGTATATACTTAGTAGATTATTGTTTAATTTCATTCGTTAATTGTTGTTTTAGAACGCTACTTTAATTTCTAAATATGTATTTTTTGGCAACAAAAAAAATCGGTATATGAATTTCTTCTTTTATCAAATATATGTGGAGGGGAATCCTGCTGGCGTACAACTGTAAAATAATATTTAAAAAATCTTACTACCTCCGTTCTCTTTTAATTGCAACGTAGGACTTTTTTCACTATTCACAGATTCTACTTTGACTACATTTTATTAATTAATGTATTACGAATTAAATTTTTAAAAAATATTTTTAAATTCCTCTCATAATAAATTTTCAAAACTTGATTTTTTAAATTTTTTTACTAATAAGGAATGAAAGATATTAAAGGTCAAACTTGTGCGTTGGCAAGCGTGAAAAGTGGACTGTTGCAATTAAAAAGGAAGGGAGGAAGTATTAGATAAAGAAATTAAATTAGGTAAGATGCACAAATTAAAGTCGTACAAGCTAAGAGTACGTATATCTTATACCTTTCTTGGAAGCCACTCCGAATTAATAATATCTTTGGTAATAGGTCTCTATCCGATACTCTAAGAGTAATTTCATGCAGCCCTTGATTTAAATTTTAAACAAACAGTGCTATATGTATAATTAATTATAATCTTACCACTTTTCAAAAAATATATAATCTTGGAGTATTAATTAATGGTTCTAAAGAATGTCATTAGGAGATGCTCTCGATCATCTTCTTCATTCATAGAAGTATAATATACCCCGGTTCAATAAAACATCATTAAAAGCATCCAATTAATTAAGTGATGACTATTAATATAATCAAAACAAGTATAGTTAATACCTGGTAAATCCCAAGGTTCACATTTGTAGAGATCAACTTCAGGGATAATCTCGAGGTCAATCTTACGGCCATTGATCTTGCGCTTCAAGTAGTAAGCCACGAGCTCTTCGTCCGTTGGATGAAACCGGAAGCCAGGTGGCAATGAAACAGGAGCCATTGACATATATGTATACCAGTTAATCAAAACAATGCTAATCCAAACACAACACTAGCTGTATTTAATATAAATCAATCTTATAATATATGGAAATCTAATATAAGGAGCTAGCTAGCTAGGCTTATAAATGTTGCAAATAGAATACTGAAGGTGATAGGGACAGGAAGAGAAGTTTGAGAGTGGAGATAGCTAAGAAAAATTTGATGAAGAGGAAGAGAGGGAGAAGAAGGAGATGGAGAAGGAGGGTGGTGGTGTATAAATAGTAGGATCGGAGGGGTGATTACAATAAGTTGGGAGGCCGGTTCGATGAGAGGACATCCTAAAAGAAAAGCTAGAAGCCAAAAAGCAAATAATTAATGAGGTAAGGTTTATAACCCCCCGCCACTTTAGACACTACTTTATCTTTTTATTAGATTTTGTGAATTCCTATCAAAGTTTTGCTTTATTGGTCGTACTTCTCAAGCTCTCTAATCATTCTCTCTCTCCAAATTAAATAAATACTCGTATTTGTGTGTATACACCTATAAAATTAGATTCAAAAATAATCTTATGAGAACCGTTAGATTGTGCTATGTGAAATTAAATGTGCATTAAGTGAAACTGGAATGTGCATGAGGTGAATTGAAATGTGGAACACAAAGGATAAGTTACAGTAGCATTATGTGAAGTTGACTTGTGCATTAGAGGAAATGAAATGTGCATTAGGTGAAACCGAAATTTGAAAACTAAAAGGCACGATGATGTGATGCATTTTTGTACCTTTTATTATACACATTTCAAAATCAACTAATAAACATTTGAATTTTACATTTTATTCTGCACATTTCAATTTCATCTAATATTGCATATTTCAATTTCACCACATGCACAATTCAATTTCATCTAGATTCATTCTCATTTCTCTCCTGAGAGATCTTTCTTACCGGAACCGCTCCCCATACATATAAACACATATGTGTGTATTATGTATTTGTGTATGCATGCATATGTGCTAATATAAATTAAGAACTTTTCTAGGCTAAAAAATCAATTTGATAGATTCAAAAACCAGAGGAATAATATGAAAATTTAAGATGAAATTAGTCGATTAGGATGACATTTTGATAAATAAGTTAAATTTGAGTGCAAGAACTACATCATACATTTTATACTGGCATACATTTGTGTGTCTACAAAGTGCATTATATTTTTATAAATGTAAATGAATCAAAAGCGCACTACTACATTTTTAGACCTAACGTAACACTAAATATGTAACATATCTATAAAAGTGTTACATATTTCTCTAATGTAACACTTTTTGGACCTAATGTTACACTTTCTAGTAGTAAAAATTTTACATTATTAGGGACTATAAAGTATTACAATAGGCCTAATGCAACATGAACAAATGTAATGGTAAAAAAGTGTTACATTTATTCTATCGTAACACTTTTTAGTGCTATTGTAACACTTTTGGGTGATACATTAGGTGTTGAAATGTTGGAGTGAGCACTGTGTTATTTCGTCGAAAATAAATCACAGTACACTCTTGTTTTGCACCGATACCTTTTTTGAGGTGCACTTTCTATTTAAGGGAGCTCGTCTCTTAAGAACTCTACATTTAAGCGTGTTTGTATGGAAGTAATCTTAGGAAAGGTGACCCGTGTGAAATTTCTCACAATGCATACGTGCGAGGACAAAATGCGTGGTAAAGCTTGTGATGATTTATGAGGACGGTACTTGGTGTGAAGCGCATCCAGGAGTAATTGAGAATAAATTGGGTGATAAAAGTTTGTGTTGGTTTGTAAGGACAGTACTGAGTTTAGAATGCATCCAAGAGTAATGACCTCGAACTCTACGAGGTCGGGGTGTTAATTAAGTCAATTCTACAATAGTGTGCTGATTCGAAGGATATCGGATGAGCACTTGGTAGGGAGAGCATTCTAGAACATGCGATTGAGATCAGTTTACAGGGGCAACGGGGACGTTGTCTTTCATGCCATATTTATCACATATCACATAGTTCACATAATTAAGCACAAATTCAACTGGGTTACATACATATTTTTCTTTTCAATACAAAAAATTACAAGAGATCCTTTCATAACTAATTAACCCCCTTTTCCCCATTTTCTCTCAAACCTTTATTTTCAAGAGATGCACATGAAAGACAATTATAACGTAAATTTCTAGTAAAAAAATCTAAGACCTGCATCACCTGTTCCTAACATGCATAATGTTGCATACTACTTGCATTTCTTTTCAGTACGCATATATAGATACAAAGTCATTCTCAATATTCTTACGATTTTCAAAGACATTTTCAAGAGCATTCATAAGAAAAGTACAACCACAGTCAACTAGCTAATCAATTTTTCATACAAATTAGATAGTTTAAGGTTAGAACATGCACAATCACCAAGATTACTAAACATAAAAGTATCTGCCGTTTTCACAATAAAGCACATTAACATATTTTCTTAGACTTTGGGAAGATATTTAACGTAGTGACTAGTGAGTGATGCTATATTAAGTTTCGGGCTACTCCTAACAGGTTGACCTTTTAGGATGGAACCCCGTGTCTTAACATGGTATCAGAGCCAAATCGATCCATGGTGTGGGGCCCCTTATGAAAAATGACGACGCGATAAAAAAAAATTGATAGACCGATGAAAAATGAATGACGACACGATCCAGACGAAGTGTCTGGTCGTGAGGAGGGGTGTTAAATGTCCCACACCGGAAAATTGAGCAGCACTAGAGTGCTATATTAAGCTTCGGGCTACTCCTCCTAACAGGTTGACCTTTTAGGATGGAACCCCGTGTCTTAACAAGTGACAAGTTTCATTACAATTGTATAGCGTTTTCAACTTTAGATATATACTTAATACTACCTCCGTCCCAAAAAGAGTTGCAAATTTGACTTTTCTTAGTCAAATAGTTTCGTTTTGTTCACTTAATTAGGATGTGCATTTCTAATTATATTGTAATTTAGAGTTTACAACTTTGAAGAGATTTTAATGTAGTTTTTGAATATGTAAATTTTAATTATTAAAAATTGAATTAATTATTCATACGAAGAGTTGACTTTTATTATTGATTGACAAAAAATTATTGAAAAAAAACAAATTGGGACGGAGGGAGTATATTAGATCTACCCTTTATTTCTTGCTAGTTATAGCATTTTTCTTGATTCTACAGTACTAGCACGGTTTTTGCTATGAGGTCTTACCCTGACTTGCACGTACAAGTGTACAACATCATCCGGATGTACTCCGGCCCCTATATATTGGATATTATTTCATATATTAAACTTGAATTATATTGAGTCAAATAGTAAAAAGTAAATTAGTGAACTGCAAAAAATATTAGGGAGTAACTAATTTGATAAACACCGCGGAGATAACTGAAAATAAATTTGTGGCATTGAAATTGGTGGAATAAGAGTTTGCGTATTATATTACACGTGGAGATAGATGATTAGATGCATGCATGACCGTCCTCCGACGTTAGGATCTCTTGATGTATTGGTATACGTTAACCAACGGAGGAGGGAAATAATAACTGTCATACACACAGTATACTATACGTATTTCGAAATGAATTCGCGGCTTTCTTAGCGCCCAATCCAATCAGCTGCGTTCAATGTTCTTTTCACATTTCTAAATTAATAATTAATTGGGATAAGGGTCAGATAGGGCCTCGAACTTCGAAAAAAAATGTCAAATAGGGCCATATTTAGGCTGCTATGTCCGGCTAACGCCATTTGGGGCGGTTCCCGGTGGAATTTTTTGATGAATTTTTTTGAGAATGTTATTCATTAAGTCTAGTTTACTCATATCAAATTTGAACTACCAATTCAATCGGGAAGGCATTCAAATGAATTCTTGAAGATAATTGCGCTTTTAACTGCACAGTTATCTTCAAGAATTCATTTGAATGCCTTCCCGATTGAAGTTTTAGTTCAAATTTAATATGAGTAAACTAGACTTAATGAATAAGATTCTAAAAAAAATTCATCAAAAAATTCCATTGGGAACCGCCCCAAATGGCATCGGCCGGACAGAACATCCTAAATATGGCCTTATTTGACATTTTTTTTCAAGTTCGAGACCTTATCTGACCCTTATCCCTAATTAATTTGATTCTGGATTTTCCCACCGACCACCCCCCTCAATTCATGGCCGAGTATCAAGTATCAACTACCAAGTATCATTATTATATATTCTCCAATTCCCCTGTTCTTATGGATACGTACGAGCCTCTTTACTAATAGAGACATCTTCCAGTTTTCTCAAAAACTGGAAAAAGGAAAACAAAAACGTGTTTACGAAAAAATATTGCTGGAAAACTGGAGAAAGGAAAACAAAGAAATGCATTTACCAAATCGTTTTCCAAAGCATTATCTGCCGTTTTCCTTAAGGAATTGGAGAAGTGACTTTTAGTGGTTTTCCAAATTTGGAAAACGCAGATGTTGCAGTGCCGCTACAATGAATTTGCATACTTACGCCTAGTGGTGGATACGGTCCTACTCCGGTATCAGTTCTAGTCCAGTCCGGCTAACGACTCGGTGGTCCTTATCTGGTCCGGTCGATGACCCGACGGTCCGGTCCGGTCATTGACCCGGCGGTCCCGGTCAGTCCGGTCAACGACCGAGCAATCCCGGTCCGGCCGATAATCTGGCGGTCCTAGTCTGATCCAACCAATGACCCGACGTCCCCTGTCTGGTTTGATCCACGACTTGGCGGGCCCAGTATGGTCCGATCCATGACCCGACGACCACTGTCCTATCTGATCGATGACCCGACGATCTCGGTCCGGTCGACGACTCAACAATCCCGATCCGATCAATGACTCAACAATCCCGGTCTGGTCCACGACCCGATAGTCCCTATCTTGTCTGATCGATGACCCGACGGTCCCTATTCGCTCCGATTCACAAACACGCGGTACCTATTCGGCCTGGTCGGCGGCCAGACAGTCATGGTCCGATATGGTATGGTCAATGATTCGGCAGCCCCTGTCCGATCTGGTCAACTACCCGGCGGTCTCCGTCCTGTCCGATCAACCACCGAACAGTCCTGTCTTATTCTATCAATGATCTGGTGGTCCCTATCTTGTCCGGCCAATGACCCGACGGTTTGGTTCGGGTCCGATCGACAATCGGGCGGTCCCGGGCCAGTCCCGTCAATCACCTGACGGTCCTTTTCCGGGCCGGTCAATGACCCGGTGCTTTGGTCTCGGTTTTTTGAAATCATTTTTAAAGTGAACAGTTTT